ATACCACCAATAAAGAACATCACACCACAATATGACTTATTTGCTTCAAAACGCGTATAGCTTCACTCAAATCACATTACTTTGAATTGAATTATACACAGTAGTTCTGTTGTCAAAGCTGTGCAGAACGATGACAAGCGCATTAAAAATACTAAATGAGTCGATACAATATTGATCAGATTCAACAATTACGCTATATTGAATTCGCAGATTCTCATAAACTGAAGGCATTTGTAGCAAATATTGGTACCTCAACTTTTGGCACCACAAGTTTTTATGCGAGTTCTACTTACACCCACAATAGTTCTACAATTCATGATAAGTTATTTCAATAATTCCGAAATAATTATAAAAACCGAAGAACAAAAATATAAACTAACTTCCCGTACCTTAATATCCGGTAAAAATGGTTTCAACCACTTCATACACAATTTTATAATTTCAGAAAAGTTCTATAGTTCCTGACATGATATAACAATAGTTATATTATTTTTATATAATTTTTGAATTTTCATATTAGCCTCGTTCAAAAAGAGTCGATTCAGACATTCAATATTATAATTCCCTAAAAGAGTTCTATAGGTTCCTGATAGGTTTTATCGAGAATCTCGGAGCTCGGAACTATTTTTCCATAATTTTTTTTATTCCAAGCGATGGTACCTCATTCAACAGTAAAGTCCGGGGTGCTAGCAGTTCCAGTCAACTTTTCAGCATTTCCCGGTAATTCTACAATATTTCCGAAGATAGGTTTTAATTAGAGTTCCGGCCCATAACTATTTTTAAATTATATATTTAAAAAATTAAATAAAAATAATATAGAATAATTTGTATACATAAAGAAATCAATCAAATATGTGCTTAACTTAATCGTAAACGATGTTCAATATATATTTCTTAGATAAACATTTTAGTAAAACATCCTGAAACTCCATCCTGGATGTACTAAAAAAACTTTGGGATACTCCTCAAAACATCATAGACATGTTTAAGATAATTCTAGAACATTTGGTAATTAAGGATATAATAAACTCGTCAGCGATATTACATTTAAATCGAATATTGTAAGAGTATTTGAGAAGTAACATTTACTTTTTTGCGTAAAAATATAATTTAAATACATATTTTGATAACGAAAATAATAATTATAAAACTTTTCATGATGGATTTAACTTGTTTCATGACTTGTATTTTTTAAATTAAATTATTGTTTATTTTAATTATTTAAATGTTTACTTAAAAATTTAGCAGTTTTAATATCAGCTTATTTTAATAAACACGTTTCTAGCCAGCGTTCCTGAATAATGATGTAAAGGGCACAAATACAAGTTAGTAGCCATTTCATATTTTTTACAGTACCTCAAGTTAGAATATAGATGAAAAATAAAATTATCTTTATTTTACTTTTAATGTTTACGTAGAAATTAATTTCTGTCAATATTTTCGATTAAAAGTTAGCAAAGGAAATTATTCCTTTTATTTTAATAAATTAATGAAAATTATGAATTCTACATGTTATTTTCTTTTAACGTAAAAAATAGCAACGTAAAGGTAGGTGTGGGAACAGAAATTTGTGTTATTTAGGCCAAGTTTCACAATATCCGTTTAATTTTAACAGTTAAGTCCCAATAGTGATTGGTTAATTCTGATTAACTTTTCTTAATGTCAAATGTGTTAAATGTGTTAAATGCAATTGGTCAAGTCCAATAAAATAACCAGCCAGTTAAATTAACTGGAAGTTGTGGAACTCGGCCTTAGATCCTCTACAATTCTATACTAATTGAAACTCAGAATTAATTAAACATTTCAGAATCTTCCTTTGTGAGTGTACTCACAAGCAGTTTCTAAAAAGTTCTGGACGGAGCCAATGTCTCTAAAAGAATTAATTTTTTCTGAGCATTATTTACCCCTTCAAAAGACATTGCGTATCTAAACGACATCTTTTAAATAAAGGAAAAGTATAAATATTTGAGATAAATCAGCAGCTGCTTCGAACATATTTTATATTTATTGTCATTGTATCAGTGCGCGCTTTATACACTTCTCACTTTCTCATTTGTAACAAGCCAGAAAGAAGGGGGTGGGGAGAAAAAGACAGAGAAAAAGGGGGAATACAAAAAATGCAATATTTTAAATGAAAAAGACTATTAGATATTTTAAAAGAAAAGACTATTTACGATAACAATAATCACGTATAATACATATATATTATTTATATCATGCTGATATAATTATGATATAATTATAGTTAAATGTTTCAACATATTTCTTATTATGAATGGTTTTATATTACGCATTTATAATAAGATATTCTGATTCAAAAGCAATATAATTTTTTTAAAGGAAAAATACAAGAACAATACAATCAATATAGCGTTCTTACATATAGTATCAAATCTAACAAAACATTTTGCATTATGTCTTAGGAATACTGTCGCATTTTTTAACGCAAAAGTTCGTGTCCCCTGTTTTAAAAGCAAAGACGTTAAACTACTAGCCAGACTTTAATTTTAAGAAACGTCAATTATTATATTATTTAACTACCAGTTTTAATTTGTCCTATTTGTTTTCAGAAATAACTAAACGAAAAAGTTTACTATCGTGTTGTGACGATTGTTTAAAAATACTAATATCAGATGTTTCAACGTTTGAATTTTTGATCTTACACCTGTTGCTACATGAAACATTTCCAATACTGATTTATAAGTACCTCGTTTATTAGTATTTAAAATGGTAATTTAAAATAACCTTTTATCTTAAAAATATGAAATTCTGACAAAATTCTAAGGCAACTTTTTATCTTGCAAAACTTTGTCCGAGGTTTATTTTTTAAGTTATTAGCAAAAATAGTTTGCCTATGACGAATCTGATACAGGAAGTAAGCAGGAGCGACGCAATGTTACGTCAGACGTAGGTACTACATGGAGCATCTGCTGCAATCAGTTGATTGCTACACACGAGTCACGTTTCAATATTCACTGCCAGCATAGAAATTGATAATTCATGTTACGCATACTAAAGATCTTTATAACTGGCAATAATTTCGGTTGGCCGTCCGACCAACCAACTGATGAACGAGTTTACGGAGAGTGAAGGAACAGTATTTCTCCTCTTGCAAATTCATTGCAAGCGATTCTCTGCGCTTCATTGCCGATCAGTATATGTACGCAAATACATAGCGTTTCATTATAGATTCCAATGAAATTTATCATGAAGTTTCATAGCAAATCAGTTAGTTACATAAATCACTTACCCGTCCTGAAGTTGACGACGATGTCTATAAGAAATATCGTGTCGGAAAGGCAGTTGAAGGCTATCCATCTAGTGCTTAGGTCGTCATTGAAAAAACTAATGGCGACTGGCAGAATTATCAGATTAGCTACCAATAGGAGGAGCATGCAGAGGTCCCAGTAGAATCTGAAATAAAAGAAAAGAGAAGAATTATTTATTTCATAAGTTTATGAAATTGAGAATTAACATCTTCCACATATACAGTGTTCGGGAGCACTTTCTCAGAGGATTTTTTTTCCAAATGATTTGAATTTGATAAAAACAAATGAGTTATCTCTTTAAATCGACTTACTGAAAGAAACCAACCCGATCTTTAAGGGGAAAGGTATGGCTGCTTACCGAAATTTTCTTATGTGTATATTAAGAGATATATCAAGGATATATATTTCGACATTAGATTCAAAAAGAAAAAGAGCGGCCAAGTTTAACCTGATTTTTTGTACCTCGAAAATGTTCAATATTTTTACATATTATAAAAATTTACGGCAAGCTGATTCCAACTATGTAACTTTCTCATAAGCAGAGAACCAATTAGTAAACCAAAAATAGCTTCAAAAGTACCAAAACCAATAGATGACAACACCACGTTTTGATTTGAACTTTAACAGAACTCGATTGTGCGCGAGCCACTAAGTTCAAAGTTCTGAGTTGTCATATGTGAACAGACTTGTTCAAAATTGACTAGCCAGGACAGCAGACTATATTGTCGTCTGCCGACTAGAACAGCTGGACGACAAGACATTTGTTGATTTTGGTATTTTTAGAGCCATTATTAGACCACTAATTGGTCTCCCGTATATAAAAGTTACATGGAATCTGCTTGCCCTAAAATTTCATGATGTATAAAAATATTAGGCATTTTCAAGATACAGAAAATCAGGCTAAATATCAATGGGCGTTTGGTCGCCCTATTTAAAAAAATCTATAAGTAAGAAAATTTTGTTTTTCTGTTTTCTTCTCAAATTTGAAGTCAAAACATACCTTTCCTATAAAAAAATTTCGATAAACACGCATATCCCAAAAACCCCCAAAAAGGGGAAGCACAAGAAAATATTTTTTTTAACTTGATATAAGGATAATGAGTAAATACCATTTGTTTTTACCAATTTTAAATCAGTTCGGAAAAAATAATCCTGAACTCTTTATACATACAGGATGTCTGGTAACTCACAGAGGAACCGTGGTATATAGGTAGAATACGTCAAACTGAACAAAAAATTTCTCTATCATTTTCAACCACGTTAAATTTTGAGTCATTAATCAAAGAAGATTCGTAAATAATTACACGCCATATGGTAGATGAGTTGTGATGGTGACGTCTGCTGCTGTATGTTTGTATATTAGGTCAAACTGAACAAAAAAAGCCTCTACCATTTTCTCAATGACTACGTAAATGTTTAGTTATTAATTTTAAAAAATTGATTGAACGTAACGCGCATAACTATACACAAACTTCAGATGTTGAATCCTTTTCTAAACAAATATAAAATTCTAGCTTAACAAATATAGCTTAATAAATTTCTAGCTTAACAAATATAAAACTCCACCTTTAATTAATTTCTTAGTATAGCGGAAATCACAAATAGTAAAAGACTTTTTTGTTCTGTTTAATGCGGTCACGAAAGTTATGTAAATTATCAGACACTCTGTATTTAAAGAACACATACAAACCAAATATACACATACACCCGAGATAATCTCACTATGAAATATTCATATTATCTATCTTTCTTTAGCTTCTCTGACATATATTTCATAATACAAATAAGCTAAGCGTATTATGTGATTATATTTTTAATCTACTAAAAATACTCGTTTATCTCTTTTCTTATCTAAATTATATTTTCGTAACGGAACTTGATAAAAAGAAACGATACTAATGATACAACTTGACACAGTCTGAAAAAAGAAAATAACTTCGAAATTAACGATGAGGATTGCACGATAACGATCGTGTATATTTGCCATATACATGTACGTTTCATTACGCCCATCAACATACGAGTTTATTTCTCGTTCTTCATCCTCCTAACCGGAAATTTTCGAGGAATCATTAGTCCGCAAAGTGGCGTACGTGGATAAGAATGAGGGTAATTCTTCACTATTCCACAGGGAGGTAGCGAGAGATTCATGACGCAATGGAAGACACGAGGCGATTTCTCCCAGAGAGATTAGGTGGAAATAGAGAATGAACTTTTAAAGAGAATGCTCGTAATGCTTTATTCACGACCTACAACGCTGTTTATTTCAAGATTTTATCGCAATGATCGATTTTCGACAAAAATCACTGAGTTTTAATTAATAACGTGACAAATAATAATGCAACACGCATGCGTAAATAAAAAAATATATATCTGATTTTCACAAGGATATAAATCGAAAATCAATGAAAATAACGAAATCATTTTCTAAGAAAATATACATAATAATTCAACAAATACAAATATTCAACTTCTTAGCGTATTCAAATATACAAATATTCAACTTCTTAGCGTCAAATATACGATAAAAATGAAGACAACTATATTTCAAAGAAAACTATTCAGCAATTTGACGCACTATATCACAAATTATAACGGTTAACAAACAAATTCGGAATGTTAATTTAACAACTTACAAATTTTTGGATAATATAATAGTTTATGCAGAAGGGAAAACTGCGAGGAATTGAAAAAAAAGTTGAACATGTTTACTAGAGTACAAAAGTGGGTGAATGTGAATAAATTAAAATTACAAATAAAACAAAATACACAATAAGAAATATAAGAAAAGAGATCAAAGAAAAAAATATATTATAATACATAAATAGAGCTATATTAGAACAAATGGAAAAAAATTAAATATTTAGGCGTTATTATCGATAATAGGTTCAAATTAGATCATTGTGCTAAAAAAATACGAAAAAATAATTTTTTTAAAAATAGAATAGATAGGAATATTTTAATATTTGCAAAATATATGATTATTTTGCATATCATAGCTACTATCATAGCTCTTTATTTCGAATACTGTGCGACATTGCTAATTGGTATGAAAGAGACAAAGATGAGTAAATTACAGCTCTTACAGAAAACTATTACTGGTAGTTACTAAAGAAATAGTAGTGATTAATTACTTCTCAGTGATTCAGTAATTATTTGGCAAATTACTTATTATATATGATACGTTTTTTGTAATTTCCACAAATTGACCTATTAAAATGGTCCAGACAATCTAATGCTTGATTACTTTGTTTAAATAATAAAAAAACGTATTTCATATTTTGTGCGTCGCTGCGTGGTTTCAATCCTTTCTTACAAAAAAGTATTCCCTTACAAAAAAATATTACTGAGTAATAAATTACTATTGCTCAGTAGTTTTATTACCAGTAGCAAATGATTTTGAGTACTAAATTACTAATGCTACAGAGTAATTCAGTGATTAGGACGTTAGTGATAATCATTAATGTATTATTAGATTCTTCTGATGAAGTACTGATATATATTATTATATAGAATTGTTATTGTATACAGGGTTCCGCCATTACCGCATTATCTCTTAAGGACGGATTCCTGAGGTAATTTGAAAAAAAAAATTCTAATGCAAAAATGTCGAAACTAATAATACTTTTCAAATTATAAACGATTAAAGTTGACCAATTATATTGGCTAAAGTACGCGCGCTCTGGTACGGTACAACACACAATGATACAGATGCATGCACATAAGTGAGAATTTGCATAAGATATGAAATTAGTTGTAGTTTCTGAAAGAAACGTCAAATGTGTGACAGCTTATTGATTCTTATAAATGTATTATGATATTTTATTTATAACATTTTGACGAAATTGTTATTATTTGCAATATGTTTATTTAAATGATAGGAGAAAGGTAGGTTATTATTACATATGTTGTTGTATTTATGGAACTTCCGTATCAATATTTGAAAAAAGGACGATATGTGCATGCATTTTGTATTGTACCGTATCTAAGCGCACGTACTTTAACCAGTATAATTAGTCAACTTTAATCGTTTATAATTTGAAAAATATTATAGCCTCGACACTTTCGCATTAGGATTTTTTTATTCAAATTATCTTAGGAATCTGTCCTTAAGAAATCATGTATTATTATTGTATTATGTATATTATTGTATAATAATTATTTAATATTTATATATTTGTTATTATTTATTTATATATTTATTATAGTATTTATATATTTATATTTAAGTTATAATGTTTTTTTTTATAATTTTTTTTTGTTATAATGTTTAATTGAAAATCTAAGAACAATTATATCGTTAATCGTGTTCGCTGATATACATTATAACAATCGAATACATTATATCAGTTGCATTTTGATTGTCGTTGCGTCGTTTGTATCATTTGTATCATTTCAATAAATATTTCATTAAATTATTTAAACATAAATATATGTTGTTTGAACGATACAAGAACATATAATTATAATTCAATAGAATATCGTCACAGCTCATTGGCACATGAGTTTCAGTTCAATTATTCAAGTTAAGCAACGGATAACGCGATATGAGGAAGAGGAGAGTGACCGCTACAAGATCGAAACCACGTAGCGACGCAAGATATGAAATTGTTTATTATTTAAACAAAATAATCAAACATTAGATTATTCCATTCTAATAAGTCAATTTGTGGAAATTTAACAGAAAATGTACCGTATATAATAACTCGTCAAGTAATTACCGAATTACTGAGAAGTAATTAATCCCTACTGTTTCTCTAATAATTACTAGTAATATTTCTCTGTAAGAATATTGTACTTATAATATGCTCTAATATCATTCAAACATATTTTAATGACATATTTATTGACAAATTATGCAAACGACGCAACAATAATCGAAGTGCGACTAATATTGTTCTAATGTAACAATTAACGACATGATTGCTTTTAGATTTTGACTAAACATTATAACGAACTAAAACAAATAATAAGTTAGTTTAAAAAATATAAGATATGAAACAATTCATACTAATCATAAGAAAATTGATGCTTTATCTATCTCATTATTAAGAAATCATAATTCATATCAATACTTTATCAGAAAAAATAATACATCATTATTTTAGTAATACATCATTATAAAAAATAATTATCATTATCATT